CCCACCACGAAATGCCAAGTTTGAGAATTCCTTGGGGCAGTAGGGTACTGCAGGCTATGGATTTTGGGATTCGCTGAGATAGCCAAGCCCCTGTATGCCTGCGCTGGAGGAAATCAGCCCTTGACATGGACAGAGGTGGAGCAACAGGCTTTTGAAAAGCTCAAGACTGCCCTGACTGTAGCCCCAGTCTTGGCCTTGCCAGACATCTCTAAACCTTTCCAGTTGTTTGTGCATGAAAAACAGGGAATCGCTAAGGGGGTGCTCACCCAGACATTGGAACCCTGGTCCCGGCCAGTTGCCTACCTTTCAAAAAGACTTGATCCCGTAGCCTCTGGGTGGCCAGCTTGTTTGAGGTCAGTGGCAGCTACGGCCCTGTTAGTCATGGAGGCGAACAAACTGACCTTGGGGCAGGAGTTGAACTTAGTGGCACCCCACGTGGTGGAGTTGCTACTCCGTGGAGCTACGGGAAAATGGATGTCTAATGCCCACACAGCCCAATACCAGGCCTTACTTTTGGACCAGCCCCGCATAAAATTTTCAAAAACCACAGTTTTAAACCCCGCCACACTGCTACCTGACAGCAAGCCAGAGGAACCCATACATGACTGCCAACAGACAATAGACGTCCTCCATGCTGCGCGACCAGATCTCACCGACATCCCCCTGCGGAACCCAGAGGAGGTACTGTATACAGATGGCAGCAGTTTCATGGTCGACGGAGTCAGGTACGCTGGGGCAGCTGTGGTCACTCTAGAGTGGGTTATCTGGGCCCAGGCTCTTCCACACGGAACCTCAGCCCAAAAGGCTGAACTTATAGCATCTACACAGATAGATGGTATGCCTTTGCTACGGCCCATGTGCATGGTGCCATTTATAAAGAAAGAGGGTTGCTTACCTCAGAAGGAAAAATCATCAAAAACAAAGAGGAAATCCGAGCTCTACTAGAAGCTATATGGAAGCCTAAGGCAGTGGCATTGATGCACTGCAAAGGACACCAGAAGGGAGATTCACTAGAGGCAAGGGGAAATAGGGCAGCTGACCTACAGGCCAGACCGGCAGCCTTGGGGCCAGTAAAACCTCTGACCCTTCTTGTAACTCTGCCGGCCCCAACCCTGCTTCCTACCCCATGTAGTCACCTGAGGAAGAAAACTTTGCTAAAGAACAGGGGGGACGACAAGATTCCACAGGATGGTGGATTCTACTGGACACAAGAATTGTGGTCCCTGAGGCTCTAGGATGGGCTCTAGTTAAGGACACACACAAGCCACTCACTTAGGGCAAACAAAAATTAACTGAGCTGCTGAGGGTTAGATACTACATTCCACACTTATATAAGATTGTTAGAAAAACTACTACTTGTTGTAATGTAGGTGCCAGGGTAAATCCAGGAGGCAGTAGGCCTAGTCAGGCAGGGATAAAATGTAAAGCTATTAGCCCAGGAGAACACTGGGAGGTAGATTTTACTGAAATAAAGCCCCCAGCGTGCGGCTATAAGTACGTCCTTGTGTTTGTAAACACTTTCTCTGGATGGGTCGAGGCTTTTCCTACTAGGTCAGAAACCGCACTGGTAGTAGAGAAAAAAATTGTTACAGGACCTGGTTCCTCAGTTTGGCTTGCCCCTGACACTGGGATCAGATAATGGCCCTGCATTTACAGCACCGGTTTCCTGGAAACTACACTGTGCCTATTGCCTCCAGAGTTCAGGGCAGGTTGAAAAGATGAACCGGACCATAAAGAAAACTTTAACAAAATTCATTCTAGAGACCGGTGAAAACTGGATCAGCCTGCTTCCTTTTGTTCTCCTCCGTACCCGATGTACTCCCTATAAAAAAGCTTTACTCCTTTTAAAATTATGTTTGGAAGGCCCCCTCCCTTACTCCCCAGACTTGCGGACGCCATACATGCTGGAGTCCATAACCATACACTCCTTAAGTCCTTGCAGACACTCCAGTCTGTTCAGTCCCAGGTGCACTCGCTCATCAGGGGAACTCGACCTACCCCAGTGGATTTCACTGACCAGCCAGTATACCCCTTCCAGCCAGGGGACGAAGTCCTGGTGAAGAGAGTCACTACCTCTGGCCTAACTCCTCGCTGGAAAGGACCCTACACTGTAATCCTGGTCACCCCACGGCAATCAAGGTGGACAGACTGACTGCCTGCATTCACCACTCACACGTCAAGACTGCCCCCCCAGATGCAGGATGGGAAGCGGTACCATCCTCAATGGACCCCCTAAAGCTAAGACTATTGCGCCGTTCTCGGTCATCATCCTAATCTCCCTGATTCCTGCAACCACCCTCCAAAAGGGACCCTCCTTGGTACCCACCTACTATCAATGGGTCACCACTGAGGGCTCCACTGGAGCATATGTTAGTTCCTTAACCAGAAAGGGATCCGCCCTAGTCAATGTAGCCCTGGAGTACACTCCAGAGACCCCCATTACCTTCTCCCTGGACCTCTGTGCCCTCCTGGGCCCCCACTTAAATTTCAGGACAAGTGGAGGTATAGCTGGGTGCGGCAGTTTAGGGGCAGAGCGACAACTCCAGACCATGGGGTTATATCTGTGCCCAGGGTCCACCCCACAAAAAAAGATGGAACTGTGGAGACTTAAATGAATTCTTTTGCCCCCATTGGGGTTGTGAAACTATCTCCACTATAACAGGATATACTGCAAACAGAGACTCTTTCATTTCTTTCACCCGAGACCCTCCCCCAAACCCCTGGTTAACATTCCTGCTCACTGGATTAGCAGGACCCTTGGTGCTAATGGTCCTAGGGTTAACATTTGGACCATGCCCTTTAAACATGCTCCTCAAATTTATCCAGAAAGGAATAGACTCAGTCAAATTGATGGTTCTGAGATCCAAATATGGGCCCTTGTGTCAAAAAGAGGAAACTATTAAAGATTTAATACATGTTAAAATAAGAGGGGGGAATGTGATATTGTGCCAGAATTGCTAGCCTTTGCTTACCAGTAATAACTAAAATAAGCAGCCCAGGATAACTAAGATCTGTGTGTAAACAAATGCTTATCTTGACTTCTGTAAACCACTGAAGTAACAAACGGAATGACAAAAGTCCCCTGGCCCTTGGAATGTCCGGAGACCTCCACCCTCGTCTCCACCCAGGAGGTGAATTACAGAGTCCCCTGGCCCTTGGAATGTCTGAAGCCTTTTCATCCCCATCCCTGCTCCTCACCCCCACTCCCAAGGTGGTTTTTCCGGTATAAAAAGTCTTGGCACCCTCCTTTCGACGCCACAGGTTGGAGAGACGTGAGTCCTCTGTGGTCGCCGGCATAATAAATGACCCTGCAATCTGGCATACTTTTGTCTTGGTGCTAACTTTCTATGCTTGATCCAGTACAACAGTGGGATGTTAAGTCTCCCACTATTACTGTGTGGGAGTCTAAGTTTCTCTATAGGTCTCCAAGAACTTGTTTTATGAATCTGGGTGTTCCTGTATTGGGTGCATATACATTCATAATACTTATCTCTTGTTGAATTGTTCACTTTACCATTATGTAGTTCCCTTCTTTGTCTTTTTGATTTGTTAGTTTTAAGTCTGTTTTGTCAGAGAGTAGGATTGCAACCCCTGCTTTTTTTTGCTTTTTTTTTTTTTTTTGCTTTCCATTTGCTTGGTAAATTTTCTTCTATCCCTTTATTTGGAGCCTGTGTGTCGTTGCATGTAAGATGGGTCTCCTGAATACAGCATACCAATAGGTCTTGACTCCTTATCCAATGTGCCATTCTGTGTCTTTTAATTGGAGGCATTTAGCCCATTTACGTTTAAGGTTAGTATTGCTATGTGTGAATTTGGTCCTGTCATCATGATACTATTTGATTATTTTCCATACTAGTTGGTGCAGTTTCTTCATAGTGTCATTGGTTTTTATATTGTGGTGTGTTTTGCAGTGGCTGGTACTGGTTTTTCCTTTCCATATTTAGTGCTTCTTTCAGGAGTTCTTGCAGAGCAGGCCTGGTGGTAACAAAATCCCTCAGCATTTGCTCGTCTGGAAAGGATTTTGTTTCTCCTTCGCTTATGAATCTTAGTTTGGCTGGATATGAAATTCTGGGTTGAAAATTATTTTCTTTAAGAAGTTGAATATTGGCCCCCAATCTCTTCTGGTTTGGAGAGTTTCTGCTGAGATGTCCACTGTTAGTCTGATGGGCTTCCCTTTGTAGGTGACCTGGCCTTTCTCTCTGGCTGCCCTTAACAGTTTTTCTTTCATTTCAACCTTGGAGAATCTGAAGATTATATGTCTTAGAGGTTGATCTTCTTATGGAGTATCTTAATGGTGTTCTCTGTATTTCCTGAATTTGCATGTTGGCCTGTCCTGCTAGGTTGGGGAAGTTCTCCTGGATAATATCCTGTAGTGTGTTTTCCAGCTTGTTCCCATTCTCCCTATCTCTTTCTGGTACTCCAATCAATCGCAGGTTTGGTCTTTTTATGAAGTCACGTATTTCTTGGAGGCTCTGTTCGTTCCTTTTCATTCTTTTTTCTCTATTCTCGTCTGTAATTCTTATTTCAGTAAGGTGGTCTTCAAAGTCTGATATCCATTCTTCCAGTTGGTTGATTTGGCTATTGATGCTTGTGTATGCTTCACGAAGTTCTCATGCTGTTTTTTTCAGCTCCATCAGGTTGTTTATGTTTCTCTCTAAACTGGTTATTCTAGTTAGCAATTTTGCTAACCTTTTATCAAAATTCTTTGCATCTGGTTAGAACATGCTCCTTTAGCTCATCATAGTTTTTTATTAACCTTCTTTTGAAGTCTACTTCTGTCAATTCGTCCATCTAGTCCTCCATCCCGTTCTGCCCCCTTAGTGGAGAGACGTCGCAATCATTTGGAGGAGAAGAGGCACTCTGGCCTTTTGGGTTTTCAGCATTTTTTTCATTGATTCTTTCTCATCTTCATGAGTTTGTCTAGTTTTGATCTTTGAGGCTGCTGACCCTTGGATGGGGTTTTTGTGGAGGCCTTTTTTGTTGTTGATACTACTGTTGTTGCTTTCTGCTTGTTTGTTTTTCTTTAAATAGTCAAGTCCCTCTTCTGTAGGTAGAGCTGCTGCAGTTTGCTGGGAGTTCACTTCAGGCCTTATTCATCTGATTCACTGACGTGCCTGGAGGTGTCACTCAAGGAAGCTGTAGAGTAACAAAGAAGGGTGCCTGCTCCTTCTTCTGGGATGTCTAATTTCAAGGGGCTTCAACCTGATGACAGTAGGATAGCTCTTGTTTAGGGTTTCTGACAACCCCTGTTGGAGGGTCTCACCTAGTTGGGTGGCATGGGGAGCAGGACCCATTTAATGAAGCACTTTGTCCCTTGGTAGAGAGGCTGTGTTTCACTGTGGTGAAACCCACTCATCTGGGCTGCTTGGATTGCTCAGAACTACCATGAGGAGAAGCTAAGTCTGCTGGTCCGCAGAGACTGCAGCCACCCCTCATGCTAGGGGCTCAGGCCCAGGGAGATCAGAATTCTGTCCCTGAACCTCTGGCTGGAGCTATTGGAGATGCTGCAGGGAAGCCTCACCCACTGAGGAAGGATGGGTCAGGGTTAGACCTGAAGAGGCACTCTAGCCACAGACTGCCACAGCTGGTGTGCTGGGTTGTGGGGACAAGTCTTGGAACCAAACTGTCCAGCCTCCCTGGATATAGCAGGGGAAAACCATAGCCTGGAGCTATAGAAATGGGTGCCGCCCTTCCCCTACCCAGTAGCTTAGCATGTTAAGCAGTTGCGAGTCCCAGTGCTGGCTGCTGCCCCTCCCTCAAGGAGCTCAAATGGCTTAAACAGCAGGCAGCCATAGCCACTGTTGGTCACCCCTTCCCCTGGGAAGTAGGCTTAAGCAGATTCCAGCTAAGAGGCTGTAAGAATCTGTGTGTTCCAGGGTTGTGATACTAAGCCCCAGTGGCATGTGTTCGCGAGTGGGATCTTCCGATCCGTGGTTGCACAGTTCTGTGGAAAAAGCAGTTTCCCCAACTGGGTAGCATGCTCACTCACTGCCTCCCTTGGCTAGGGGGTGGGGGAGGGGGTTCCCCCTCCTCCTGTGGGTCTCAGGTGGGCCAGGGCACCACACTGCTCTTCCTTCTCTGTGGGTCACACCAGCCTTCTAGTCAATTTTGATGAGAGAACCTGGTTCCTTGGTTGCCAGTGAAGGATTCACATGCTTATGTTTTTTTCAGTAGGAACCTCCAATATGACCCTGCTTCCAGTCAGTCATCTTAGCCCTGCTCCTAGTTTCTGCAGGGCTGGGAAGGCCTCAGGAAACTTCCAATCATGGCTCAAGGCAAAGGGAAAGCAAGGCACCTTCTTCACAAGGCAGCAGAAGGGAGCTGGAGTTATTTCCTAAGAATAATTCTGGCCAAACTTGCATGTACTTTCTCAGCCAAACTCCATTTGGATCTATTCAGGCAGGAATAAACCAACTCATTATCAAACCTAAATGGAAAAAAAAAGATCCTCCTCTGCTATTTTTATCTTCTTGTTTGTAGATAACTGAACTAATAGGTATTTTTACTGGTCAATATTTACTGGTCAATAGTTGTTTTCAGCTGTAATGATGAAAATCATACTGATTATCACAGGCATTATTGCTTGCCTCCCACAAGTCCATACCCTGCCTCCTTGCTAGAAGAGTCCCAATTTATACATTGGATCCACAATTTTGTCACCCCCCCCCTTTTTATTTTTTTTTTTAGATGTGGAATCTTAGCATGTTGCTCAGGCTGGTCTCAAATTCCTGGGCTAGAGCAATCCTACCACCTTGGCCTTCCCATGTATAGGATTACAGGAGTGAATCATTGTACCTGACCAGTATCCACAATTTTCACATGATCTCGTGCTTCGAGAAAGGTAGGCTCCAGCCCCAAACCTAAGGAGGGAATTACGACTGGTCTTGTCATGGGAACATGATTAAATTCTGTCAAGTAAAATTAATGTACGTGGAAGTCTGTGGGGAGAGTGGGAAGTTGGATAGAACCTGGATCCTTAATCAAATCCCTGAGAAATAAAATTTTCCTCATTTCTTTAAACAATTATAATCAGTTTTCAATTCTTGTATCTAAAAAAAAAGCCTAACAGGCTCACAGAGCCTAACAGAGTCTAATAGATTAGTAAATTGACTACACATTTGTAAGCAGTTTGGTTGGAGAGGGAGGATAGTAGGGAATTATGAAATATATAACATCTTTCTTTCAAACTTGATAATTCCTTTCAAAAGAATGAATACAAAGTATTAAAATATCATTAGGAATTTCCAAAATCTATCTTAACATCTACTGAATTTGATGCTTTCCAATGTTGCATTTTAATTTCCCATAGCAAATTCCAATTTTCTTAAATCTTACAAAAATGATATTTTCCCTATATTCTGCTATAAGAATTTGTGTATACATACATACATACACACACAGACACACACACCTCTTTTATACTACTTTGGGGTAATATTATGTTAGTAATATAATAGTAAGTATAAATGTAAAAATCTAGCTTCTACTTTGTTGTTAATATAATTAAAAGGCCTCAATTAGAAATAAAAATATAGCAAATTAGAACTATTATGAGATCCACAAATATATAAATTTCATTTATTTTTTAAAAGTTCAGAAGTAAACACTCCTTAGTACCTGTAATGAGCTATTCATAATAAAGGGCAAACACCAAGACCAGTGCCACGTAGGATTCTGCTTCGTGTTTTGCTGCAACCCAGCTGTCCCATGCAACGTCCCAGATCCATCTGCTGGCAATCTGTGAGAGAATTTTTTTAAAGACCAATTTTAAATGAATATGTTAAGAAGTAATTTTCAAATCTGCACTCGTTTTTAAAAAATGAGTGCATCAGTATCTCAGAAATTATTTTTAATATGTAATTTGTCTCCTTTCATAAAGATGTCACTACCCCCGCTCATCCTTCTTCTTTACTGGAGGCTGGCCTTTCTCTAAAACAGAGAGAGGCTCCCTTAGCAGTGTTTCCAGGGCCAGAAGAAGGTACCTGGGAATGGGGGTATAGTGGCTCTGAATACAGTATAACTCTGTCATGTGGTCCAAGACAAGGAAGTCTTCTCACCCTTTAAAGATTTTCAGTCAAAAAGTTTGTCAGAACCTTGCCTTGAAATGAAAAAATGGCATTCATTATACAAGTAGGCTGTAACGGACAATTATAACTACTTTTCTCCATATACAAATTCAAATGTGATCTGACTCCAGCTGACTTATTTGTGGAGGATCTAAAATTCTAAAGTGGCACAAATTCTTTTTCTTTTCTTTCTTTTTTTTTTTTTTAAAGACATAGTTTCACTCTTGTTTCCCAGGCTGGAGTGCAATGGCATGATCTTGGCTCACTGCAACCTGAACTGCCTCCTGAGTTCAAGTGATTCTCCTGCCTCAGACTCCTGAGTAGCTGGGATTACAGGCATCCGCCACCATGTCTGACTAATTTTTGTATTTTTAGTAGAGACGGAGTTTCACCACATTGGCCAGGCTGGTCTCGAAATCCTGATCTCAGGTGATCCATCTGCCTCGGCCTCCCAAAGTGCTGGGATTACAGGTGTGGGCCACCACATCCGGCTGAAAATGGCCCAAAATCTTTATGGCTTCTCCTATTAAGAAGTTGACTTTATGTCCCCACCCTGTGAATAAGACTTGGCCTTGTTACTTGCTATGAGTTGCAAAATATGACACTGTGAACCATTCCAAGCAAGGCCTTCAGAGGTCTTGTAGCTTCTGATCTTATGCTCATGGAATGCTATACTGAGACTCCCATGTTAAGAAAGCCCACTCAATCTACTGGAGGATGCTGGCGCACATGCAGGAGAACCCAGGTGCCCAGCCCACAGCTAGCCCAATGGTCAGACAAGTGAGAGAGGCCATCTGGGACCTGCAGGCCTAGGTAAGTCATGAGATGGCTACAAGTACATCAGTGAGACCAGCAGAAAGGCCAGGTAACTGACCCAGACCAAGCTGACTCACAGAAAGTAAGCAAATGCAGGGCTGTTGTTATAAACTACTAAGTTCTAGGGTGGATTTTTGTGCAATAATATAAGCTGAAACCTTCCTCCACTCTGCATCATGCCACTCTCTACTAGCTACTAGTCCAGCTCCACATGTTACGTATCAAGCACACCAACTCATCCCTGCCTCAGGATCTTTGCACTCAAATTTTTCTCTGCTTGAAACATCCTCCCTCCTCTTTGGTACAGCTGGTTCTTTCTTATCTGGACATCAGAGGGTTTCCCCTACTCTAAAGAATCCCAAATAGCCACTCTGCTACTCTACCATATCCCTACTTTAATGTTCTCTTTGTGGTGCTTATCATGCAGAACACCCCTATTTCTTAAGTGTGTATGTCATATGTGGTGCAGCTTCTGTTCTCCATGGGAGCCAGGACAGTTATTTCTTGCTGACTCTTCCCTCACCAGTACCCCTCTTACCAGTCCAGGTCCCCTTCCCCATGCTTCATCACGCAGTCCACTCCTGCATGGAACCTCTACAGATTCTTCCAAACACAATTTTTCCTCTCTTTTCTCTCCAACTCCCACATATTCATTATCAACTCCTTAGGTAATTACACAGCCTAGTGATATTATCTCTTTATTAATAAATAATGTTAATAATTACCTTGCTGTTTATTGAGGGCTCTGTGCTGGTGATTATGTTAAGGATTTTAATATAGATAATTTCATTTAATCTTCACAACAGCTCTAGGAAACTAGTTTTATCATCACCATTTTATAGATGATGAAACTGTGCTGAGGCCACAGCCAGCAAGTGTTGCAGAGGCAATCTGACTCCAGAACCCAGGCTGTTTACATTATCCCTATCATTTTAGTTCTTTAAATTCTAAATTGTGCTGTTTTATCTCCTTAACTAGAGTAAAAACTCCTTGAGAATCATTCTTGTATCTTCCTTTATCGTTATCATTCCTTGTATTTTCCTTAGTACCTAACACCCATTAGTGCCCAAAATAAATGTGCTGATTAATTAACTTAAATGACATTACACTGTCAAAACTGATATGATCAAGGAATAGAATAACCATGCAATTTAATAAATTATTAGTGCCAAATTGCCACTTCTAGGTTTGTACTTTTCTTTTTCTTTC